ATTTCAACTACAGATCACACTTTACAGCCTTATTACTAGAGAGTCTTTCTTTTATTCATTTTAACTCATCTAGTGTGGGCAAATTTATGTTTTCTATTTAATAATTTATTTGAGTACCTTGTAGAGAATGCACTTAGGTAGGGTAAAAGCAGAGAGACACCTGCTTAATGAAACATTGGTATTTGCCATCAAGAGTATAAAAATCTAAATTCAGCCAGGAATGGTGGCACATGCCTGTAATCCCAGCATTAGGGAGGCTGAGGTAGGAGGACTGTCATGAATTTGAGGCCAGCCTGACCTATACAGTGAGTTCAAGGACAGCCTAAACTACTTAGTGAGTCCCTGTCTCACAAAATTAAAAAGAAAAAAAAAAAAAGGAAACAGCAACACCAAGAGATTAATGGTAGATTAGTTGTTCTCAACCCTGGCTGGGTTATGAATCAACTGGAGCACTCTTGAAATACCTATGTCCAAAACATATTCCATATCCATGTGATGATAATCTTGGTAAAAGAGGCCCAGGTATTTGTATTGATTAAAATGTTAGAGATAATACTCTGGCAGACATGAAAGGCCCCATAGGTTACAGGTTCAATTATCCATTCACATGTGACATGTAATTTTGATGATAAATTTAACTAATTACTCAGTGATCCCCACCTAACAAGTTATGTAAGAAAACAATTACTTTTCCACTAACTACTTTGCTAAATAGGATTTAGAGTCAGGGACACTGATAAAGTACCAGGATCCAAAGATAAGGGATCCCAGAATTCTCTCTGCTCAGTCAACCTACCCTCCCCCACCATGGAGTTTATCAAATGGCAGCAGAGACCTTCAAGACCTAGATTTCAGAACATAATTAAAGCTGTCCCAAATGCTCCCTCTGCTTTCTCAGCATCTCACTTTCTTCTGTCCTTATCTGATGTTGATTCAGCTGATTCCCAACATTCCACAAATACCAATTGTCTTTGCTTATTCTCAGCAGATGATAGTTATTTCTGGGATGCTGAACACAAAATCTAGAATGCCCACCTTAGGCCTTACTCACCCTCAATCTTAGAAACTTCAATCTTTAAACCTGCCTTTCTCCTCTCTAAACTAAAGACTAGAGATGAAACAACTCATATGGATGGTTCTGCCACATTGGTTTCATTACAGCATTCTCCACCTGAAGGTCTACGAGATCCTGCCCACTTTTCCATTTGTAATTAGGCTGAGTACTGTATTTCATAGCTTTTTTGTAAACCTTGCAATATTTTCCTCAGAAATAAGACTTCTCCCTAAAACATGCACACCTGAATTATAAAAGATTCAAGATACAATAAGCACTTGCAGTTGCCCCATGGCTACACTGCACTCTGGGGATGTAGCTCAGTGGTACAGCACTTACTTAGAATGCGTGAAGTCCTGCCTGGGTTCCATCCCATGAACCACAAAAGAAAAAAGCAAAAAAACAAAAAACAAAAAAAAACCCGCTATCTTCAGGTTGATGTATTATTCTAGCAGCTATTATGGAAATTATCTTTTTCAAAATGTGGTGGATTAACTAAGAGTCAACTTGGAACGCCCAGCTGCACTGAATCAGCATGGTCTGAGCATGGAAGACCCACGTGAGGATTGTTGCCAACAACATAAAAAAAGACCTGGAGGGGAAGACTGTAGGCTGTTGATTTTCTGGGAGAAGCTTGCTATGTATGGTTTTCCTGATGTGAACGTGGCTGTTCTTGTCGGAGGAGCTCAGTTCCTTCCTATCACTGGGAATGGTTGCTATTCTAGTCAGGGGAGCTCTAATCTTTACAGTGAGTGTGACTTCCTGGCTCCAGTATAGATACCTCAGCCTGGTGGCACAAATCCTTCACCCTGCCAGCGCACATTTTCTGGCTTCCACCACTGGCCTTTGAGCCTTCCAGGTGCAAATCCTTAACATGGATAAGCATAAGACATTGCTATTGGCTCTAGGCCTCTGGCTGGACTCATGGAGGACTTTGCCTTAGACTTAAGGCCTTCAGCTAGACTTGTGTGGGACATTACCATGGAACCCAAGCCCTCAGCTAGATTCTTCAGGTTTCTAATGCATGAATAGATCTCTTGCACTCCTCTGCATTTGACTTTTTGGGTAACTATCATAAAATAATCCTATGAATTATGTCCTGTATTAAATCTTTCCCCCTGCAAACCCTGACTATACCACAAAAGAATCACTAAAATGTAAGATGGGTAAATTCTAACACATAGTAACATATGAGGCTATGGAGTTAATGGCCTATAGCATGGGCCTGAAGTCTGTTGCTGAGTTCAAATCCATTTTCACAATTTACTAGCCATGTCTTTCTATCTTTTCTTCCCCAATCTGTAAAATGGGAAATCTATCTTCTGAGGCTGATGTGAAAGTTAAATCATGTATGAAACATAAAGCTCCTAGCAGAGTACCCTCATGAGGTCAGAATATGTATAATACAGGTTAGCTGTTGCTATACATTATTATTGAGTACAGCGCTTAACCTGCCCAGGGAAATAAGCCTGCCTTCTAAATCTCTTTCATTGATTTACAGAAAGTGAATTTATTACAAATTGTTCTTCAAATTGAATTTTGACATTTCTGGTCTTTTTCCATTATTTTTAAAATTCAGTGAATAAAAGCAGGAATTTGTCAGAGTATTTCATGACATTTTAGTTCCATTATGAATACCATTTATTAGTTAAATCTTGTTATGATTATAATATTATCTAAAATGAAACTAGGAGAGGGGAATACTGTGAAGGGAAAAAAATCACTTGCCACTTAAATTAAAATTTTAAAAGCCAAAAATGAGAGGGAAGTTTTATAAGCTGCAGGTGACCTTTAAATGTCACATCCACTAATATGTAAATGTAAATAAAAAAATAATGCTGGCCATAATAGTAAATTGATCAATGCAATTACAGGTTCTGTGACATAAATTATGCTCCCAGTCCAGAATATCAATTGCTTTTTAAACACCTTTTAAGATCAAATTACAATGCATTAAAAAAACAACTAGTTAATTCCAGGTTATTTATGAGCTTATAGTTTACCACCATGCTTGCACAGCATAGCTCTGTACTACTAAATGTACAAGATTTGAGAGAATTTTTTTAATAATGAGGCAAAATTAAATTTATGATCTCAGTAAGACAATCCTTAATGAGAGCTACTTTAATAGTTATTAAATGGGATAATGTTACTATTAACTTTAACCCACTTCCAGAAGTTAGTGAAATATGATTTCAAAGACAATAGTTACTTGTTAAAATCTCACTTTTTAACTGAATTATGTGTGACAGACAACACATAACATACTACTGTAACAATGGCAAAAATAAAACCACTTTGGGCTAGATTCTCATATTGCTGTAGAGGACACTTGAAATCTTATCTCTCCACTGTTTCAATTCTACTGGTAAAGTATTCAGCTTTTGTGATTACATTCAGTATATTCATAGGTCTTCACTATACTGTCCTTAGATTCTCAATTATCCAAAGTAATAATGTACATATGTATATATCCAGAAACCATTTCTTTTCTGTGTAATAATTCTTAAAGGAAGATGGAAGGTACAAGAATTTCTTAAATTTCTAAACTATATACTTTGAGCAAATTTACTTTTATTTCTTGTATAACCTATATGCCACTAGCGGAAATTAAAAATTACACTTTTTCCCTCACTAGATGGATAATTCATTATTTCTATAGTCCCAAAAGATGAGAATAGGAGAACCACCGGCCCCTAAAGGAAGAGTTTGTGACTTGCCCTGTTTCAGCAGAATCTGGGCCATATAAAAATAGTCCATACGAGAATTCAAAACATTACACGATGCTTTCCAAAGCCTTCACTTACAGGTCTCAATGAGGAAGAAAAACACAGAAGACCTACATGTTACTCAATCCCGACGTGAGTTCTATAGTCCAGCTACAGTTTCTGGACACTTATTGCACTTTTTAACTGTCACTTTTTTTTTTTTCTTGTTCCAGACCTCAAGAACAGAACTTGGCCATCTTTTTCGTTTCTGTAGTGGCTCTGAACAAGATACAACCCTGGACTGTCTAATGCATAGACACTTCTCGCCGCAAGTGGGGCTTTGAACTGAACTCTCTCTGTGGACTGTGACGGTGACCCACAGCATCCTACCACTGAGCGGGCCGGTCCCTGGGGCACAGTTCTCAGGTGAGACTCCGCAGGCCCCACCAGCCACAGCTTCCTGGCGGGTGTCATCTGCACCATCCACTTCCTCACTCCAAAGAACTCAAACCTAGGTGCACAGCAGTTTGGGAAGTTCCCGCAGACAGTTCCCAGCCACTCCGCTGCCCCGCCTGGGCTTCCTTGTCCCCGAGTCCAGAGGCACTGACTGCGCCGGACCTGGCCGGCTGGGCAGCCCGCAGGGACCGCGA